ACTTCGACGGGCGCTTCCTGACTGGCCACGGCTGGGTCCGCCTCGTGCCTCGAGCCCGGTGATTCTACCCAGATCTCGCGCAAGGGGGCGGGTCGGCGGCTTCGAAGCTCGGCTGGGGGGAGGACTGAAAGCAGGGTGGGGGGAGCGCAGGAGGAGGAGGAGCACGAGGAGCAGGAGGAGAGAGGCTTGAGGGATGAGCAGGAGGGGCACGAGGTCGATCCCCCAGGCGGTGGTCATGGACAACGCGCCACCCCGGAGATTCTCCGTGACCTGCCGTGGGACTGGGAGCGACACGCCGCCTGCGGCGCGCGTGGACCCGGCCACCGACGAGAGACCGCCCCCGGCGGAAGGCCGGGGGCTCCCGTCGGGGGGCGGCGCACGTGCGCCCGTGAGCGGACGCGAGGGCACACGCCGAAGCGAGGGGGGGGGGAGGGGCGGAGGTTCTGATGCTTTCCCGCCCCGGCGTCCCCCCCCCTCCCCCCTCGAGTCCAGGGGATTGTGGAGCTCCGCGGGATCGAAGAACTTTCAGCCTTTTTCTTCCTCCTTCCCTCCATCTTCCTCCTCCTCATCCTTTCCCTCCTCCTCCCCCTCATCGTCTTAGACACTGCCGCTATCCTTCCGCAAATGTTGACACGGATGAGAGCATCTTGGAGGGAATCTTCGCGGTCTGAGGGTATCTTGGAGCACGGCCAATCGGCACAAGACATGTCCCTTGAGCATGGTCTCAGGAGTTCCAGCTCTATGCCAACAGGCGTGGGGTTGGAATTTCGAGGGTCATGCTCGAGGGGACATCTGTTTTGGCTCTTGCGACTCTGTGAGGGGATCTTGGCAGTCTGAGGGTACGTTGGAGGACAGCCAATCGACACAAATGCACTCCCGATCATGTCCTCAGGCGTTCAAGAGGGGGGGGTGCAAATCATGACCGGCGGCATGTGCGCGGCCCAGCGGGGGGGCCAGGGACGTAATGAAATGAGAATAGGCGCCAGGAAATCAGGGGAGATATCATGGCCGCCGCCATGATATCCCCCCCCTAGACATCACCCCCCTCTTTGCCGCCCCCGATCCTCCTCCGCCGCCTCTGTTCATGCCGCTGGAATCCAAGCACTCCTCCCAATCGCAACCCCCCCCGGACGTGCCGCTGGGGCGGGCCGGGCGCTTCGCCTGCCGTCGTCGCAAGCAACGGTGCTGAAGCCCGAGCGCTGCAGCAGCTACTCAGATGGCGTTCTCTCCCGGGGCTGTGGTTCTCGTACTCGCGCTGCACACATTCGTTCTACAAGCTTGCATGACGGGGCCCCAGGACACACAAATAAATACACACAAATAAAACAAATCCCCATATTTTCCCATATTTTCTAAGTTTCTGTCTTCCCCCCCACTTGCCATATTTTCCTATATTTTCTTGGGAATCGAAGATTAATTGTGTCAGTGTGTTTCTTTTCCTCCTGAGATGGAGCCTCTTCCATCCGGGGCCCTCTCGCCTCAGCCTAGGGCACATGTGGCGTACGAGCTTGCAGCAAGTGCTGCGATGACAGGGGACTGCTTCTCAATATGGGACTCTCTCGCATTAGCGACGCGCAGATTCGCCTGAGCGCCGCGCAGGTACGCCTTCAGAGTTCGCATCATCTACAATGAAACAGGGCACTCCTTTTCCAAATGGGGCACTAGCAGACCAAGAATCTGAATACATGTAGAATCTGCATGCGTGGAGGGCGATCCTTTCCAACACCTCGATGCGCATGACCAAATGTGCAACTTTGCATCACCATTGCACAGATGGGTGCGGCCTCTTTTCGAAGCGGGGATTTTGCTGTGCACTTCGCTGAACTGTATGATCGTACTGCGGGTCCGTATCGTGTCGACCGCGGCGTTGGTTCCCTACCGGCGACCAAGCCGGTACGTCCCCCCTGAGCCTCCCGCAAATGTTGCCCTCTGTCTTGGGTCATAACTCGGCTCTCCATCGACTGATCGGGCGAAATGGGCACCCCCAGAAAACCCTCGGCGAGGAGCAGCTGCTGGAAGGCACCCCGATGATGGAAGAGCGCCGAGAACGAGCGAAAACGCCCGAACACTTCGAACCTCCAAATTAGCCTGGCGAAGGACCCAACCATATGCAGTTGTGAATGCCGCAATTGTGCTGGGTGGTGGCGGACGCATGCGGGCGGTGCCACTGGGACCTTCGGTGGAGCTCCCTATGGGGCCACGAAACGCTGTACTGGGTGGGTGAGACGCGGTCAGCAAGGGCTGTGCTGCGTGGTGGCGGACGCATGCGAGCGGTGCCACTGGGACCTTCGGTGGAGCTCCCTATGGGGCCACGAAGCGCTGTACTGGGTGGGTGAAACGCAGGCAGGGAGCAAGGGCTGCGCAGGGTGGTGGCGGACGCATGCGGGCGGTGCCGCTGGGACCTTTGGTGGAGCTCCCTATAGGGCTACGAAGCGCTGTTCTGGGTGGGTGAAGCGCAGGGAACAAGGGCTGTGCTGGGTGGTGGCGGACGCAAGCGGGCAGTGCCACTGGGACCTTTGGTGGAGCCCCCTATGGGGCCACGAAACGTGCGAGGGGTGTGCCAGAATGGGGTGTGGAACCGCATGCCAGCGCAGCCACTGGGGCCTTCGGTGGAGCTCCCTATGGAGCCACGAAACGTGTGAGGGGTGTGCCGAAATGGGGGGTGGAACCGCATGCGAGCGCAGCCACTGCGGCGTTCGGTGGAGTTCCCTATGGGGCCACGGGACGTGTGAAGGGCGTGCCGACAAAGGGGGTGGAACCGCATGCGAGCGCAGCCACTGGGGCCTTCGGTGGAGCTCTCTATGGGGCCACGAACCGTGTGAGGGGTGTGCCGAAATGGGGGGGGAACCACATGCGAGCGCAGCCACTGGGGCGTTCGGTGGAGCTCCCCATGGAGCCACCCACGAAGCGTGTGAGGGGTGTGCCGAAATGGGGGGTGGAACCGCATGCGAGCGCAGCCACTGGAGCGTTCGGTGGAGCTCCCTATGGGGCCACGAAACGTGTGAGGGGTGTGCCAGAATGGGGGGTGGAACCGCATGCGGGCGCAGCCACTGGGGCCTTCGGTGGAGCTCCCTATGGGGCCACGAAACGTGTGAGGGGTGTGCCAGAATGGGGGGTGGAACCGCATGCGGGCGCAGCCACTGGGGCCTTCGGTGGAGCTCCCTATGGGGCCACGAAACGTGTGAGGGGTGTGCCAGAATGGGGGGTGGAACCGCATGCGGGCGCAGCCACTGGGGCCTTCGGTGGAGCTCCCTATGGGGCCACGAAACGTGTGAGGGGTGTGCCAGAATGGGGGGTGGAACCGCATGCGGGCGCAGCCACTGGGGCCTTCGGTGGAGCTCCCTATGGGGCCACGAAACGTGTGAGGGGTGTGCCAGAATGGGGGGTGGAACCGCATGCGGGCGCAGCCACTGGGGCCTTCGGTGGAGCTCCCTATGGGGCCACGAAACGTGTGAGGGGTGTGCCAGAATGGGGGTGGAACCGCATGCGGGCGCAGCCACTGGGGCCTTCGGTGGAGCTCCCTATGGGGCCACGAAACGTGTGAGGGGTGTGCCAGAATGGGGGTGGAACCGCATGCGGGCGCAGCCACTGGGGCCTTCGGTGGAGCTCCCTATGGGGCCACGAAACGTGTGAGGGGTGTGCCAGAATGGGGGGTGGAACCGCATGCGGGCGCAGCCACTGGGGCCTTCGGTGGAGCTCCCTATGGGGCCACGAAGCGTGTGAGGGGTGTGCCAGAATGGGGGGTGGAACCGCATGCGGGCGCAGCCACTGGGGCCTTCGGTGGAGCTCCCTATGGGGCCACGAAACGTGTGAGGGGTGTGCCAGAATGGGGGGTGGAACCGCATGCGGGCGCAGCCACTGGGGCCTTCGGTGGAGCTCCCTATGGGGCCACGAAACGTGTGAGGGGTGTGCCAGAATGGGTGTGGGAGGGGGAGGAGGGGGGAGGAAGGGGAGGAGGAGGAAGGAGGAGGAGGAACGCGGGGCAACGTCTTTTCAAAACGAGGACCCAACACCACAGGATGGTTGGGAAAAAACGCTGTGCCTCCCTCCCCTTCTCGCTCTGAGAAAAAACTGAACGTCCTGGCATTCATATAGCCCTACAATGGTTTGCTTATAACGGCAAAACATTCGAGGAGCACCATGTCCTTAGAACGCAAGCCCACTATGTTCGAACAAAACGGTCTCAGCCAAAATTGATATACTGAGAACAATTCGTGCAAACCACAAGAAGTTTTCAGAACATTCTCTGGTGGGCCTAAATCGGTGAATCGAGACGCCTCGCCACTGCCTGAGGACACCTCGAACTTCGAACGCCGGAAACCCCTTAAGCCTCCCTCCCCTCTTCGATCGCCCCGCACTGACGCGGGTCAATGCACACCCCTGCCAGTCAAGCTTCGCGCAAGATCCTGCAAGATCCTGAAGGGCACTGCGCGCTGACTCGGGCCAGTGCACCCCTGGCTCTGCAGGATCCTTAAAACAGGGCTAGGATCGGGATAAATCGCTCCAGAGCGTTCCGGAGCGCTCTCAGAGCGTTCCGGAACGCTCTGGAGCGGCCGCGGCGCCCAGTACATCCTCCAAACCCGCCGACTCTCAGCGATTTCGAATTCTCCCGATCCGATTTTGCCCCGACCTTCGCGTCGTTTTAATATCCTGCGAGCTCCAGCGCTCCGGCTGACCCCCGTCTGCAAGGATCGGCGCTGGACAAACCTCCCTTTAGTAGACCTCCCCTCAGAGAAAGCGGCCTGGGACCGAAACCGACGGACCTGGACCCGTAGAAATGACGGCCGCGACGCCCTCTCGCGAACCGAACACGGCCAATTCCTTAATCGACGTCTCATGGTAGGAGGTCTGTCCACCCCCGAAAGGCGCCCCGCCCCCGCCAGCTCGAAGTCCCCCTCGACCCGCCGCCGCCGGCGCCAACCGCCCGCGCCCGAGGCCGATCGGCCGCCGCCGCCGCCGCTCTCGGCCCGTGCGCGGCCCGTGCGCGGCCGAGGCCGCCCCTACGCCGGGGCGCTCAGGAGCGGCGCGTCGGCCACGGCCCGGGGCGCGGAGGCGCTGGGCACCATGACGAGGTCGCTCCCCTCGCGGCTTCTGGCCGTGTCGTCCTGCCCGGAAGGATTATACAGTCGAGGCGTGGACCGAAGGAGCCCTGAAGAAGGAGCGAGGCCCCCAATTTTCCATGAGCTGAGCTCCGATTTCGCATCGAAAACCTGAGGAAAATCCAAGGCAAGCTGCGAAACACTTAAGGAACACGGAGCCCCTCCCCAACGAAAAGGGTTCCTTCTTCAGGGCCCCGACTGTACAGTCGGGCTGCTGAAATCGGGAACGCTAGACAATGAGGAACGGCGCCCCCCATTGGGCCCCCGGAGCGCCTGCGTGCACCAGGAGCGCTAGAGAAACAACCACGGCAACACCTAAGGAACAACGAGCCCCCTCCGAACCCGCACGCTTCCATATTTTAGCGTCTTGGCTGTACTCTGGATTTCATGATACAGGAGGGCTGGTCTGATTTGACGGTGGGGGTCTGATATAAGCCGTTTTAGAAAAGTCCATGGTGGGTTTGGGCCAAAGGCCGCCCGTTAATGGCTGGCCTGGGGGTGGTCTAAAGCTGTTCGTCCAGGAGGGTTCGCGCCCACACCCCGTACGTTTGCCAAAAGTGGAATCATTCAGTGCACGTCCTCCTCCTTCGGGGGTCGACCGAACCCTGACCTTCCAGGAGGGCTACCAAATATGAACACCAGGACCTCGACGTCTAAATTCCAGTCGAGGCTTTTCAACCGCCGAGATAGATCCGTGGGTCTGGAGGGCTGTTCAGCGGCTATTCGTCAGCACCCTGGAAGGTGAGGGACCCCCTGTCAGCAACACGCCTCTTGGCGGCGACGACCCTGGACCCAGCAGGGCGGGCGCAGGGCCGTTTATGTGAGCGTGTTCTTACTCGGCGTTTCGACATTGGGCGGAGGGGGGGGGGGAGAAGGGGGGAAGGTTTGGCTCCGGACCTCTGCTTAGCGCGACTGTTTGAGACAGTGCATCCTATGGGGAGCGCCTCCCCCTGCCTGAAACGGGCACCAAATACAGCCAATATCTATCCAGCAAGGGGGGGGTGCGAGGGCCCGCGCCGATCGGCAAAACAATGAATAAGAAAACGATCACGATCCTCTTCTTCGACTCGTTGCTCAAGACGGAACCAGCGCCAGCAGGAGGCCCAGCAGGCAAGCCTCCGACGCTCCTATCCCCCGACTCGCCGATGGTATTGTCTTGATGATCGGCCCCTGACATGAATCGAGAACTCTCTGTCGTCAAATGGCCGAGTATGGGCCACAATCACATCGCCAAGCGGGGTTTGGGCTGGAAAGGTGCATGCCGTTCCTTGGCAAAAGCCTTGTCCCGAGATGTGGCCGCCGCTATCGCTGTGGCAACCTCCAAAACCGACCCCGAAGTGCGGTTCGGAACGGGATCTAACACAACGATCCCCCTCCACTTCTCTGTGCTACCCTGGACGCTGCGTATAGCACCAGAAAGTGCAATCCTTGCCAGAAAGATCGGATCCAAGACGTCGTCGCGTCGTGTGAAAATCGCGATGGATACTTTTCGACTTTCTTCGGCCTCCCCCTCGCGGAGCTCGGGGGCGGTCTTGAAAACTGCTCGGGACGAGAAGCCGGTCCCGGGGAAGGGGTCAGGCACCAGTCAAGGGGCACAAGGACACACAAGTAAATACACACAAATAAAATGATGCCCCATATTTTCTCATATGTTCTGGGTTTTGGTCTTCCCGCCCAATTCTATATTCCCATATTTTCTTGGGGGTCGACGATTAATTGTGTCTGTGTGCTTTTTCCCCTCGTGAACCAGACCCCCGCGGGGTCGCGTTGCGACAAACAGCACGACGTCGGACGTCTGGGCAGGAAGGGAGCAGCTGCTGCGACTCGAAGGCAGGGCAGAGGGGGGGAAGACCGTATCATGTGGGTGAGGATCGGGTGATGGCCGGCGGATGCGGTCACTTGAGGAAGGGAAAGAGGGATGATGTCGAGGCGGAGGAGGAGGAGGATGACATTTTTGACCTTTGTTGACCAGGTTCGGACGCGCGCGCGAGAGAGAGAGAGAGAGAAAGAGCGCGAGGAGGGTGGAACGGAAGGGAGGCAAGGGGGAGGGGAGCGAGAAGACCGCTTTCCGGCACAGGCCGACGCCCTGGGCCTGCGCAAGCCAGCCTGCGTTGAAGTCGGGCGTGTCCCACTACAGGGGGATTTTCGACGAAAAACAAAAAACCTAAAGAATAAGCCAAAATATTCCCAAAATAGTCTGGGGACTGTTTTTTGAATATGTTTCGACCTTTTGGGGGTACTTTCGGGATATTTTTAATTTTGCGTCGAAAATCCTCCCGTAGGGGACACGCCCGACATAAGCCTACGACCCTCCAGACGGAGGGGGGCGCACCGAACCGGCAGAGGACGCAGCCCCATCGCCCGCCTCGGAGGACGAAGCAATCCCCGCCTTGAAGTCGCGCTCACGCAAGGCACGTTGCAACGCCGCGGGTATCCCCTCACGCCGGGGGGGCACGCCTGCCTGGATGCGCGATAAGTTGTCACTCCCTTGAGGGAGGATTGGCACTTTGCGGCCAGCTGCCTGCCGTCAAGTGTGCCATATTTCCCGCACGTGGAGCAAGACGTGAACACATATTTCTCCCATCTCTGATGCGTGTGAGAGATGGTGAACAGCCCAGCCGCCAGCAAGATCTGCTTTAGCACCCGCCGGAAACTCACCCGCCTCGGGGAAGCCTTTGCCAACAGTGGCGGCCGCACGTATCGCAGTTATGGGGAAAGTATTGCGCCCCACTTCGTGCCACAACGAACGACAACATGCTCAGACATCTTCGAGGCCGACGGAGCGGGACGCCGCTCCTGCCGCTGCCGCGCCCCACTCCATGGGCCGACGGCGGAGGCGAGGACAAGAGCCCGCCATGCCCTCGCGTGGACCAGGGTGGCCACCGCAACACCGTGGTCCGTACGAGGCTCTCCTTGCTGGATAACTTTAGACTCCTCCCACCCCCTCTGGGCCGCCGCGCCCGCCTCATCGTCAGCCAGGGGGGGGGCACCTGGGCTGCTCCTTCGGGAGCCTCATCCAAGTGAGAGGGGATCCACTTCAAATTTACATCGGTGGCCCGAGATGTGATACCAACGCGGAAACTGGACAACAACACCTGGTTAACGCGATTCGTCTGGAAACACCGGCCGCTACCTCAAGTCTTGACAAGAGGCTCGTGGTCTCTGACGCACAACAGAACTTGCTGGACATGTTCCAAGGCGAGCGCGAAAGCGAGCAACTCTGAACGAGGGACAGTTGTCTCCTCCACCCGACTGGGGTAGCCTCCCTCGGTCGTCAACATGCATGGTGACAAATGCTGTCCCGCACCGCCGCCGCCTCGGGTCCGCACTGTGAGCACCGCCCGGCCATTCTCCGGAAACCACCACACGCCCGCATACGGGGTGAGGGCGGGCCGACGCGATCGGGATGGGGCTGAGAAGTTCCATCTTCTCCTCGGGGTAGCTTGGCGGGCGAGTACAATCCACGGGCGCAATCCCTCGGAGCCAAAGCGCGGGATACTGTTCAAATTGGGCCGCGACCTGGCTACTAAGGGACTGGCTGTTTCCCAAAGCTGGGGAGCCGGCATTACATGGACAGGACCAGACTCGATGGTATAGAGATTCGGGTTCTTGCCTGCAGCGTGGGCAAGTTTCCTCACCCCCATGCTCCAACATTTCCTGTCGAATTCCTGCCCGCTGGCCGCCTGAGACAGCAAGCGTCTGCAGTGCAAACCTACTTGGTCGAACACGCCGGCTGCCACGAACATCTTAACCTTTTTCCCAGCCAGCCACGAGTCGCCCCCAACCAGCTCCAGGCCCGAACCCTCATAATGGTCCGCCGCGCGAGCCAGAGCGCGGCGGGGCGACGGGTCCTGGGATATATCATCCAACGATCCACTAAAGTCGGCATCGCCCTCGTCGAAGGCAGGCTCAGCAGCCCCATGAAGGCGCCAGACCTTGCTCGAATCCGGGACAAGCCTGCGGCAAATTCGTGCCGAGTCGACTTCGGCGCTGCTTGCTGACACCTCGGGGATCGTCCAATCTTGCACCATTGGCCGTTTCCGACACGTCAGATCCTTCAGCGTCGACCGATTCTGGGTCGCCGGCGGCGTTCAAAACATGAACGCCGGCGGTGGGGTCGCCGCCGGTCGACACGCCGCGAACCTGCCGGAAGCCACGAATCTGGCGCCGAGGGGATCCACCCCGCCTCATGCAGGGCAGCAGGCGGTCCCAACTGGGCCTCGGGCCCTGTTCCCCCGCAGGGGTCTCCTTCCACAATCTGGGAGTGAGGAGCGTCAAAGCTCGCTAGATCCTAAGACGCAGGTCTAGAGTCTGGTGACGACTTCCAGAGCAAAAGAACTTCGAGACCCAAATGACGGCGAAGCTCAATCGCGGGGTCATGTCGACACAAAGACAGAGGGAGAGAGTGAGAGTACAATTGTGAGGCATCTACCTGGGCCCTTCTCCACGATGGCCTGGACGCTGAACTCCTAAAGCCGTATCGCAACCTACATCAACAGACGAGCAGACAGGAGTGAAGGGCAAGCCATCGCGCAGAAGACTCTGGCTAAAGCGAAGGAACACGTCACCAGAGGTTGCAAGTATATTAGTTTGTCCGAGACGGTCAAACGCTGCGCCTGGAGTCAAGCAGTCAGCGTGGACGGCCGTGCCTTCAACACGGGAAACAGCGTCATCGATGAAGGACCATGGCCTGCAAAGTGGCACAGCCCGATGGGTTTTGACCATCATCGGAAATATGACAATTTAGCAAGGAGAGGCCAAAGGCAAGATCCAGCAACAGTCGACCAAGCGGGGTGGATCGGTAGGCTGGCTCCTCCAATACTGCACAAAAACCTGGGGGCCAAATAAATCGGAGATTCGAGCACCGCGACCCGGGCTGAAACATCAACATCTGCAGCGCTGCAAATCAGCAACACCAGGCTCAGCGAAACATAGGAGGAGGAGGAGGAGGAGGAGGAGGAGGAGGAGGAGGAGGAGGAGGAGGAGGGGTAGGGGGATAAGGAGGAGGAGGAGGAGGAGGCTCGAGGAGGAGGAGGAGGAGTTTCGAGGAGGCGGAGGAGGGTCGAAGAAGTGAGGGAGGAGGGAAGAGGAGGGTAGAGGAGGATGAGGTCGAGGTCGATGAGGAAATAAAGGAGGAAGGGGAGGAGGAAAACGGAGGATGAGGAGGGTCGAGGAGGAGGAGTTGGAGGAGTTGGATGAGGAGAAGGAGGAGGAGGATCGAGGAGGAGGAGGAGGAGGAGGACGAGAAGTCGAGGAGGGTCGAGGAGCAAGAGGAGGCGGTGAGGCCCCATCCACCCCCGCTCCTCGGAGCCGCGCACGCTGCGCGGCGGGTCCCCCCGGAGCTCCAGGGATCGGCGGTCGCCCCCGTCGCCCGTGTCGATCAGGCGGGGCACCTGCCGCCCGCAAACTTGGGCTTCAAATCGGGGAGACGTCAGACTCGGGTTCGAGGGACGTGGGTTGGCCTGACGGGGCCGTCAGTGAGGACAGCAGAAACCATTGGGAATGGACAGAACTCCCTTTAGCAGAGCGTGGTTTAGTGAAAACGACCTCGGGCCCAAACCTGGCGGGCGCAAGCCTGGAAAATGACGCCGCGGTGCCCTCTCGAGAACCGAAAACTGACAATTCACTAATCGACGTGTCAGGGTGGGGGTTCTGTCCACCCCCGACACCACCCCCACCCCCAGTCAAGACCCCACCCCCGACCTAGTGATCCAGGGGGCCCTGACTGGGGGTGTGGGGGGAGGTTCGGGTTCGTGGGGCCCAAAAACAACTCCCACCCTCAGCCAGGGCCCCCGGCATCACCGGGTCGGCAGTGGGGGTCCTGGCTGGGGGTGGGGGTGGGTTGTGCTGTCCTCAGTTCGGAAAATGACGAGACATGATCTGAAATTTGATGCGGTCTCCCGCTGCAAACACCCCACGCAAAGCTGGACCGTCAAAATCCGGGACGGGCCCGTCAAAAAACGCGTGCAACCCGAGTTCAAGCGAACTCGAGTCGTACGTTTTCCAGGCAGAAGGTTCAGGGTCAACGTCAAGCGGGGTCAAGGGGGATGTATCGACTCCTGACCGCCCCGCCCCGCCAAGGAGCGTGCGGTGTCGCTATCCGGAGCCCACCGCCGATCCATCGGCGACATATCGCCGATTCAAGCTCGATATGTTGCCCCCACGGGACGGTCCCCCCTCTGACTAACCAGCCTCGAGCTTATCCCTGTCCCTGAGATCGACAAGCCCGAAGGCGATAACAATCTGAGTGATGCGCACTCAGAAACCGAGGGCATTCTCAAGATCGGCATCGAGCTAAGCCGATGCCAATCATAGGGATAGGGACTGTGCACATCGCGGCCCTTCGACCACTGGCAAGAGGACCGTCCGCACCTGCTCCAGTTGCAATTCGTTGGCGACTTACATGTTGGTAAGACTGGGCCGCGTGAGGACGCAGTCGCCACTGCGATAGTGGCCCAGGCCCTCTCCTGGCCCTTGGGGGGCAGTCAGACGACAAAGCCAAGGCGGGGACAACATCGGACCACGACACCCTGGGGATCTCTGAGATCAGGCAGCTCTAGAGGACGTGCAGTCGAGCTTGGTTGAAGAGGATACGCAACGCGCGCGCGAGGACACAGGACCTTTCTGAGGGCCACGCTGCCACAAGGCTGTAGAAGGCTTGGGTCGCCAAGCACAGGACACAAGGGCACCCTTGACTAGGCAGGGTCGACCTACTAATCAATCTCGACTCTATTGGGCGCAGCTGAGGGCTGGCTAATTATACCCCGCCCCCACTGGGGCCAATGACACTGGAAATGACTGGGTCCCTGTTTCGAAAACCGAAATTGGCATCAGGGCCCCTTGACAGGGCCCTGGGAGAGGCCCGACGACACCCTGCGCTCTCCTCCCGCCCTCCCCCTGCCCCTCCCTCTACCTTCTCTCCCTCGCTTGCCCTCCCCTGCAACTTGTTGGGGTGTCTGCAGGACCGCCTGGAATGGCGCCTCGAAAACGCCGCCAACGCGATATAATTATTGTGACGCCGCGGGAGAGGGGTATACATATAGCACGAAAAAATAAGATGACCCTGTGACGTACCCAACCCATTTGTATCAATGGAAACGAGGCGTTGGCCGAAACTTGTATGGACAATCAACTTGATGTGTAAGATACTTGGGAGGCGTCACTGTGCTGGGCCCCGCCCAGGGATGGCGAGGTCTAGTTTGAATCTGCGTGTGGCGTCACTGTGCTGGGCCCCCCAGCAGGCCTCGAGAGTGGCGACAGTTTCACAGATCGCAGCCCCCCAGGGATGGCGAGGTCCAACTTGAGTCTGCGGTGAGTACCCACTGTGCTGGGCCCCCCAGCAGGCCTCGAAAGTGGCGACAGTTTCACAGATCGCAGCCCCCAAGGCATGGCGAGGTCCAATTTAAGTCCGCGGTAAGTACCCACTGTGCTGTGCCCCCCAGCAGGCCTCGAAAGTGGCGACAGTTTCACAGATCGCAGCCCCCCCAGGGATGGCGAGGTCGAATCTGAGTCTGCGGTGAGTACCCACTGTGCTGGGCCCCTCAGCAGCCCTCGAAAGTGGCGACAGTTTCACAGATCGCAACCCCCCAAGGATGGCGAGGTCTAATTTGAGTCTGCGGTGAATACCCACTGTGCTGGGCCCCTCAGCAGGCCTCGAAAGTGGCGACAGTTTCACAGATCGCAGCCCCCCAGGGATGGCGAGGTCCCATTTGAGCCTGCGGTGAGTACCCACTGTGCTGGGCCCCCAAGCAGGCCTCGAAAGTGGCGACAGTTTCACAGATCGCAGTTCCCCAGCTGGCACGCAGCGACGAGCGAGGCGAAAGGCAAGGGGGAAGAGAGGGACGGGAAGGAAGGAAGGAGACGCGCGAGCAGTGCTCTATTCAAAACGAGAACCCAACGCAGGAGGGTTGGGAATTATATGCCCCACCCGCAATTCTACCCCACCCGCGGGAGGATAACTTCGAAGGTGGCGCGGACGCTGGAGGACCGTCGTGGACTGCTCCGCCTGGAGCGCCCAAATACTCCGAAATGTTCAGGCAGGACTCGGAAGAACACGACATTTCTCCTCGCTTTACGCGATGCACTTTGTCATGCGACGCGCGGGGGCTAATCAATGAATTTCGCTCTGAGGCACAGGGAACCGAAATAGGACTTGCACAATGATAACATCCAACCCGAAAGTCGTCCATGCCTTGGGGTGGGCGTCATAATATCTCGGACCCAGAGCAGCGGCCTTCTCACAGCGCTGCGGAAACCTCCGAGAGCGTTCTCGAACCTGGCCATCGCTCGGACGTCCATTCCCTGTGTTTTTTTTGGTGTTGTGCGTGGCTTTTTCGCCAAATGATCAAGGATGCTCCTCGATGGTCCTCCCCGAAAGAAACATGCACACGTCCAAGCGATGCCAGGGAACGCTCTGGGGGCGGTCCTGGGCCCGCCCGGCCCGGAGCAGCCTGTGCACGCTGTGGAGCCCCTCGGCTCGATGCGGACCGGAGCGACACGGACCCCCCGGGCGGTGGCGGCGGCGTCGCCTCCCACTTCCTCCCACCCGTGTGACGGGGTATGTGGCGACCCCAATCCCCGACTCTGTGGGGAGGGGGGGGTCGGGGATGTGCGAGGGGGGGGGAAGGGTCACTCGTCCTCGAAGGGGGTGTCTCGGGAGAGGTACGTCCGGATAGATGTGGAGGGCAAGAAGGCACGACCACAACCAAGGCTGAACGCGGAGACCAGCGTCGGTGCCGACCTCTGTCACTGTCCATCTTGGTCACCGTCAACTCGTCGATCCTGCTCGCGACGGCCTGCATGGAACGTGGCTAAGACTCGGCCAAGACCTGCATCGGGATGACCCCGCGACGTCTCTCGGTCATGGTCACCCGTGCTTCTTCCCTCGGCCCATCCCTTCGGGTCGGGCGAAAGGGGGGGATAGCAAAGGGGGGGTTTGAGAATCAGCTCACGTAGCTGATTTTCCCGGCGCCTCCCGGCGCTGGAGGCGGTTATGTATCGAGGAATGGGCCCCTCGGTGAGGCCGAAACCAGCTGCATGCAGCAAATTTCGTAACCCCCCCTTTCCCAAGACGTGGACTGTGGGAGCAAGACGTGGCTTGCGATCGGGCGACCGCAGCGATCGCGCCGGGGGCGGCTCTGCCACTCTCGGCCCCCGGGGCCGCCAGGAGCTCTGGCAGCCCCCCGTGGGCCTGGAGGCGGGCCCAAAGGCCACTTCCCAGACTGGCCATCGCTCGGACGTCCACCATTCCCTGTGCTCTTGCTCAGTTTCGTGCGTGGCTCTGTCACCACATGATCAGGGATGCTCCTCGATTGTCCTCGCCGAGGGAGAACTGCACACGCCCCAGCGATGCCAAGCAAGCGTCCGACGCCGTGATCCGCGCCCCGCGGGGGCGTCGGCGGCGCGAAGGCGGGGCCCCGACGGGCGGGGCCCCGAGGGGGGAGCGGCCGGGAGCAGCGAAGGCTCCTCGGCTCGGGCTCTCCCTCCTATCCTTATGTCGGGCCTCTCCCCCTACAGGGGGATCTTCGACGAAAAATAAGAGATACCCCAAGCATGCCCCCAAAAGGCTGAAAAATACTCAAAAAATAGTCCCCAGACTATGTTTGGATTATTTTTTGACTATCTTGGGGGTATGTTTTATTTTTCGTCGAAAATCCACCTGCATGGGGACAAGCCCGACTTTATCCTATCCATGAAGGGCCCCGTGCCGGGAAGGCCTGCTCTGGGGAGGGAGCGTCGGCCTGGGAGCGGCGACGCATCGCTGATAGACCGGCGACAGGCCCCCGATGGCGAAGTCGCATGCTCCTGGGCGGGGTGGGCCACCTGGCCCCCATCGGCGATGGATTGGCGATTCGGGGTCGATGCTTCCCCCCCCCCCCCTGAGCCTTGCCCCCGTCCTAACGCTGCCCCCTGCCTTAGGATCAGAACGCGGCTCTCTGGCGGCCGCTCGGGACGATCTGGCCACCCCCTGGAAGGGTCTCGGCGCGGCGCAGCTGCCGGAAGGCACCTCGACGCCGGAAAACCGCCAAGAACCAAAGAAACGCCCTAAAACCTGGAGCCTCGAACCCGATCCTTCCAGAACGCCCACCTCGCTGACCCTAACGCTGTCCCAAATTCGGGAAACCAAAAAGGTATCGATGCCGCTACTCCCTGGACCTTTCCCGGGGTGCGTTCTGACCAGAATCTCGAGGCGACTCCAGCGGTGGCGACGAGGGCCTCCGAGGAGGCCCCAAAAGGTGCCGACGACGAGGGAAGGGCAGCGGCATGGGTACCTTGTCCTCCTCTGACTGATGCTCCTCCTCTCTTCTCAGTCCTCCCTCTGCTCGTCCAGGCGGCAGGTATGCGGCTCCCCGCGGACTCCCCCGCGGTGTGCACCCACAGAAGTGCGCGGTAGCCGCTGGCGTTCGCCACCTGCTCGTGCTCGATGCGGAGCACGGCCCTACGCCCGTCCATCTCTCGGGCGCATGCTGACATGGATGAAGGATCTGTTCGGGGATGGACAGACCTCCCTTTAGTAAAACGTGGTTTAGTGAAAACGACCTGAGGCCCAAACCTGGCAGGCGCAAGCCTGGAAAGTAACGGCCGCGGCGCCCTCTCGAGAACCGAAAACGGGCAATTCACTAATCGACGTGTCACTGTTGGGGGTTCTGTCCACCCCCGATCTGTGAATCTGGCGCGTGGGCGCCAGATCCACGGATCCGTTTGGACGCCAGGAACGGGCACGGACAAAGATGGGTACAGTGTCTAACAGCACATGTTGTCCAACACCGACAGCGGCCGCTGTGGGGTGCGGGCGGCTTCTCGCATTCAACAAAAACAGCTTCCGCGGCGGCGCGGGCAGCGAGTCCTGTCCAACATGCACAGGAACTGCTGTTGGGCATCGTACCCCTCTTCCTGCACCCATTTCGCTCGTCCCGAATCCGGGAATGCACCCCCTGCTTTGGCGCCAGCGCGTCCCAGGAGGAGGAGGGGGAGGAGGAGGAGGAGGAGGAGGGCGAGGAAGAAGGAGGGGAGGAGGAGGAGGCCAGCGCCGCCTACTTAGGCGGCAACCAACGCGCCGATTCCGCACCGCTCGCGCGCACATTGCGGCGATCGCAGCGCACCTCTGGCCCGACGCCGCTACCAGCAAGCCCCACCCTCCTCCACAAAGCATGACTGCTACCGGAAAGTGCGGGTCCGTGGGGCTGGGGTGCGGATGCCACATCCGAGGACCGGGGGTAGGAGACCGATTTCTGACCACACCCACTTCCCGAGGTGCCTTATGAAAAGCGGTTTCCAGAGGTGGAGGTGGGCAGTTTCCCCGCCCCAGGGGAAGGAAAAACTACCCACTTCCGCCCCCGAGGGCCTATCATAAAATCGAGGATCCAAAGGTGGATGTGGTCAGAAATCGGCATTCGAGGGGGATCCCCCTCGAAACATGGGGCCAATGCAGCCTGATTTGGCGACGGAAGGCGTCGATTCTACACGGAAACGGGGCCCGTCGCCAATCCACGCGCCTTACTCCATATTGACGCTGCCTCGACGAATGGATCAGCCCGAAAGCATTCACGCCAGAGGACCAGGGATCGGTCAGTGCCAGCTCTTGAGTGGGGTGCCGCCGAACCCTACAGAAGAAAGATGCGAGCGGTTCGGCCTGCCTCGTTGTATCACAGGCACTTGTGCTGTCCGCTATGCCCCGCGGGCGTCCGCCGGATCTTCTGACTCCACGTCGGTCGCACAGGGTGGCGGCGATGCGTCTGGATGGACTGGTGACGCTGGCCGAACGTGAAGGTGGCATCACAGAGCAAGGCTTCGGACAGCAAACGTCATCCACAAACGTGTGCCGATGGTCGTGATTCGACTCCCCTGAGTGGCCCTCGCCCTTCCTCCCCCTGGTCATCGCTCGGACGTCCATTTCCTGTGCTTTTTTCGGTTTCGTGCGTGGTTTATTCGCCAAATGATCAAGGATGCTCCTCGATGGTCCTCGCCGAAGGAAGCATGCACACGTCCGAGCGATGCCAGGCCCCCCTCCGCGGCCGCCCGCGCTCTGTCCTGTGCTCCCTCTCTTGCATGTTGGCCAGTTCGCTACAGCGGTGCCCCCGGTCAACTAGTTCAATCCGCCAGCGCAGACGACCCCTGCCTCGCCGCCGACGAAAACGATGTGTGTCGATGGTGGCCAGACCCCAGCACTCAAGACCCCCGGGCTATGTCCATAACGCCCGACTTGCGTCACAAAGTTCTGGCGGGGAGTTCTTGCCGTTGGAACACCACAAACGAGCACTCCAATGATTGACTCTGGGGCTCAGAGCCCCAGTGACGCCATCAGCGATGCCAGAGAAAACAGAGAGGCGTCATAATGAACCATCGAGAGCCCAGTGGTATACCAGAAGAGCCGTGCTACGTCCTCCTGAAAATCCCAAAGAAACTCAATTATCCCGGTGCGACTCTACCTAGGAGTTGGAGCCTCTAGGAAAGCAACATTAGTAGGAGCGGTAAACGCCGTCCTCCTCCTTCTCCTCATCGTCGTAGTTGTAGCAGTAGCGGTAGTATATCTATATATATATAACAGGAGCAATAGTGGATGCTGTGCTGCGCTATGCTATGCTTTGCTATGCTCTGCTCTGCTATGCTGCGCAATGCTATGCTATGCTATGCTATGCTATGCTGGGCTGGGCTAGGCTAGGCTAGGCTAGGCTATGCTATGCTGCACTATGCTATGCTGCGCTATGCTATGCTATGCTATGCTATGATATGATTTTGCTTTGCCTTCGCTTTTTGCCTTCATGTTCGCCTTTGCTTTTGCTTTTGCTTGGCACCCAGGGAGCGCAACTGGGGCAACCGCGCGTTTGCTTTTACCTTTGCTGTTGCTTTTGCTTGGCTCCCAAGGGACTGGGGGAACCGCCCGGGGCGGTTTGCACTGCCTGGCCCCTTTAAGCCAAGCGAGTAAGAACCCTTCTAGGCAGAGCCTAGGTAGGGAAAAAGACCTGGATACTCAAGGAAGCCGTTAGGCGACTGACCCGAGGTCGGGGCCTCTCATTTGCAGCGCCCGACGCGCAGAGCCTGCCCGAACGCATCAAGCTGTGCCGGGGCGCAGGCCTCGCGGGAGCACTGCCGCGTTGGCTGGTGGCCAAGGCTGCCGGAGGAGGCCCCGAGTGAGACGACCGCAGCTCTCCCGCTCGCCACGGACGGCAAACACCTCCGTGTCCGCGCTCTCGCGGTCTGTCATCTGGAGCACGATCCCCTGGATACGCGGCCGCACGGACACGTCCCGCGCGGGACGTCCGCGAAAAAAAAGAACACTCCAGATCCGCAAGGCCGCGGCCCAGAGGCCCCGCCCGCGAGGCCGCGGACCCGGATATCGCGTTCACCCAGTAGCTCGGCGAAGATCTGGTCCACTTTGGAGTCCCGAAACAGTGCGGTGACAGACCGTGCGGTGACCTCGAGATCCCCCAAGACCTCACCGCGCGGTCCGTCAACGCACGGTTTTGGGACCTCGGGTGCCTCAGTCGCCCGAGACGTCCTCGGAAGACGACTCGGGTCCCAAAACCGTGCGGTGACCCCAAACCCCACGGACTCACCACACGGTGTGGTCACCACCCCGTTTGGGGGCCCCCGATCCACATCGGCCCCCAGACCCTTGCCGGGGTCCACCCTGACCCGTGCTCCGAGGCGGATCCAGCCCTGTGGAGACGAGAAGCCTCCATGGAGGCCCACCAAAGGACTGGCGGCGCGCACGAGGGGACAGGGGAGGGCTGCTTCTCAGACGGCGCGGGCCGTGCCTCTGCAGACGAGACTCGCGCCTTCTAAGAAGCAGCCCCCTTCTAAGAGGCCTCCCCCCATTCCCCTGCCCCCCTCTGCGCGTGGCCGAAAGGACGAACGGCGGCAGGGGGGGTCGCCGCCTCCTCGGCCCTGGACGTGCGCCGATCGGTTGCTGTTCAATCCCGGGCCCCAGACGTCCCGACGACGTCTCCCTGGCTCATGCATGCTTCGTCTCGCGATCGATGAGGGGGGAGGAAAGGTGCCCTTTTCGGGCCCTGGAGGGCCCTTTTTGGGGCCCGAGAGGGCACCTTTAGGGGTCCCCTCAAGGGCCCCTTTTCTGCAGCCCTCGCTGCCTCCCCATGTATCGCCCCCTCACTTATCGCGGCACAACTCGCGTCCACCAGTTCTGGTCCCCGGGGCCCGAAGGAGGCCCCCGCAGACGAGGAACCGAAAACCGCCAGCTGACACAAGTCACGTCGGCGGAGCTCTGGGACTTGGCCCTCCTGCGAGATTGAATAGTTCAGGCTGGGTCGCCCCAAGAAGCCATCGAGAGGCCTCCTCATCATCCTAATCCTTCCCTCCTCCTCCTCCTCCTCCTCTTCCTCCTCCTCCTCCTCCTCCTCCTGCTCCTCCTCCACATCCTCCTCCTACTGCTCCTGCTCCTCCTCGCTCACCACGAGCACGCCAAGATATAGCAACATTGGTACAATATGGGCCAGCGGAACTAGCGAAGCGATTCAAAAATTCAGGCTGGGTCTTTATGGTGTATCTTCGTCGGACATCGTCTGTCCCGTCGCGCCGAAGCATTGCCCGCGTCGAAAAGGTGCCGAGTCTGCCTCGAATCAGTGTCGGACTCATCGGATGCTCGTCGAATCCACGTCGAGTCCGCGTCGAATCCACGCCGAATCCGCGTCGAATTCGTATCGAGCCCGCGTCGGGCGAGAGAGAAGAAACATTCGTGGGACAGACGACGTCCCCCGAAGATGCAACCCGAGATCTGGGACTGGCCCTCCTCCGACCTTGACAAATTCAGGCTGGGTCGGCTGCCCGGCCGGGCGCCGCATGACATTTCTTGTCACGCCCGGAATGGGGACAGAAAGTATGGGTACGATGCCCGACAGCAGTGCCTGTTACTGTGGAGCCAAAATTGCTGTCCATCGGACCCCTGCTGGCAACACGGGTGATTATGTCAGCAAGTCTTGTGCATTTGGACAGCGAGTGCTGCCAAATGGACACGAGCAAGAGTTGCTGTTTTGAAGTCGCGAGATCTGTTGTCCGATGGGCCCTGCATGACAGCAAATCTTTTGTGCCGCATGAACGGGCACAAGTGTCGAACCCTCATTCCCAGGCCCCCGACGTCATGATGATTTTCTCATAACTTCGAACCCCAAAGGCCTCGACTCACTTCCCGGAACATATTTCTCATCCTGAGCCGTTTCTTGACGGTTCTGGGGGTCAGTAAGGGCCTCCCAGAGGCCGCAACCAACGAACATCTCCCGTCGTGATTTTTGCCATGACCCGAGGCTGGAAAGCATGTCATGGAAGCCTTTGGTCGTCCTCACGGCGCCAAACAGCGCGCCCAGTCGCGCTCGAAACGGAAGTAATGAATCTCCCTCACATTTGGGCGCCCGAGTTATCCGGGGTAACTCGGGCCCGGGGTAACTCGGGTTTGGATTCCCGAAAAACGAACCCGAGTTAGCC